GATTATGTAAATTATATGTTATACTATATACTATTACGCTATATGGGTGTCTCTCCTTCCATATTGCTTCTAAATGGAGCTACAGGAGAAGAGCTTAGCTGAAGACCTCTAGGCTCTGATGCTCTACACTAGGGCCATATAAATCCTACCTGTCCCACTGCAGAGATATAACCTCAGCCAGGCTCAACACAGGACCCAACCCCATGGTGAGCTCTGGGGCAACAGGATCTGCCTCTGCCCCAGGTGCTGGTGGATCTGTGTGGGGCTACAGAAAACAACACACAAAGGATCTGATTGTTGGCACTAAAGGCAGTAACTGCAGTAGCTTCAAAAATGGCAGACAGAGACAGAAAAGGAACCTAGCACTGAAGTGAACTGAGGTTATCAGGTGCTCTGGATGTTCACACCTGACTGCAGAAAGCATCTCCATGTGCATTCTCACATTTGCTAGGGAAGAGAGGGATGGTATGGCTCATACACTCACGGCAGAGGAGACAAAGAGGAGCATGGTCTAAACATGCAAAACAGTGGAGACAGCTGAAGACCATCAGTACAGGTACTCAACAGGCCAGTGGACTCTGAAATCCCCAGGGGGAGAAGTGGGGAGGAGTGTTACGAATTTTGAAAATGCAACTGCTGTTCCAAGCATCAGGAAAACATAGAGGGCAGCAGTCAGTCATCCTGGGGGACAGCTGTCCTTTCCCTGCCGCCTCCTGCCTCAAGAGTGATAACAGGAGTGATGGAGTCTGGAGGTGTGGTCAGTGTTTGAAATGACCTTCTGGCAAGAAACCTCAGGTACCCTCTGCTGTACAGAGCACAGGCCAGCTGAAAGCCAGCACTCCAATGACCTTCCTGTTACCTTTTCCTTAGAGTTAATATTTTGGCTTGTTGGGAGCAGTAGATGCTCCTCTTGGATCCTCTCCCCAGCCTCCTCCAGGACACACAGGCAGGATAAGGACTCCTGGGGCAGACGAAAGAAGCAGACATGAGCTGTCTGCATGATACATCAGCAGTTCAGTCTGTGTCCACAGCTTCCTCACCTCCTGTGGGTTCATCCATGAACATTCTTACAGATATACTGAGATTTCTTGAATCCTGTGATTTTGGGAAAGAAATCTATGACTACAGGTGTTTATAAAGCAGAAATTAACTTTGTGAAATATTTTCATTTAATCACCTTTGAGTCCTCTTTGCTCCAATTAGGAGCACTTCTCTCTCCTTTTCACAATATCCTATGCATAAAAAGTAGAAAAGAACATTTAATGTGGTGTTATCTGGTGTTCAATTCACTGCTGACTTTTAAAATTACTGAGATATTCTCCTTGTTATTCTTCCCCTTAAGAAAGATAAATCATAACTAAAAAAAAAAATCCAGGTTCTTGAAGTGTTTTGATTTAAATGAAAAAGCATCATGTGGTGTAAAATGGTGACTGTTGCTTCTGTTATTTTCTTCCTAATTTCTCTTCAGAGAGAACTGGGGATTAACTTGGGACTAAAATCTCATGTGGTGTTAACTGTCTTCATGGGACATGCTAAGCTGCTTAGTTCTGAAATGTTCATAGTTCAGATTGATTGGATGGGAAAGCTTCAGGTTTCAGAGGCCAGGCATGGGGTTTGACAGCCATGTCCTGCAGTTAAGCCCAGCCTGGCTGATCCAGTATGCTGCAGTCCTGGAGAAGAACACACCCTCCTTGAAACATGTGGCAAAAGATGAGATCCTGGACTTGGGGGTCTTGCCCAGTAGAGGGGATCCCCACAGTACAATGTGAACTCTAGTATGGAGCACAACAGATCAAAGAAACAATAAAAAAAGTAAGAGCCCATAGTTAAATAATTTTCCAGATTCAATAACCAGCTCTAATTAAGTACTGGGAGAACTTTCCAAATTCCAAAGGCTTCTGGGTGTTTAAATTTTTCTGACATCCTCCTATGATCTGAGATATTAAGGTAGTTAAAGCCTGAGAAAAATGTAAGCTATGTCTACATATTTTGTGTGGTGCTATCAGTTAATCCCAAGGCTCTCTCAAGGAATCCAGTTCTTAGTCTGGGATTTAGAAAAATGACATTAATGTTCCTTTGCCTCCAACCCTACTTGCATTAGATTTAAGTTACAGTCTCCCCAAGCTTGATTGCTGGGAAGCCTTGCTCTTGTGTCTCTTGGCACATATTTCTCTCTCATCAGTCTGAAAAAAATGCTGCTGCCCACCTTGTCCCTCTCTCTTGCTCTCACTGCACCAGCCCTGCCCGAAGCCATCTCATGATCTGCCTTCCTATCTGCCCCTCACCTAACTCAGTTCTGGGTCCTTTGCAGCCCTGCCAGGTATCACGTATGCTTTTGGTCGGGGTCCCCACTTCAGATTCTTCTCTTCCTTGGACCTCCTCCACACCCCTCATTTCACCTGAGCTGTGAGATTTTGAAGGAAACTAACCCAAGTGCTCCTCACATCTCAGGAGGTATTGCGTCTGCTCCTTCTGCTGAATCCACCAGTGATCCAGCCAGCTGCAGTGCAAATATGCAGACTGATAGAAGACCCAAGCCCTGAGGTCCATATGGCCCTTACGATCATGGTTGCAGGTAACTTTGGTAGTGTCTAAGAAAGATTAAGGAATGTAAAGAATTTAGGGAGATGCACCTCTGGACCCAGAAGCCAGTGTTGACTCTGGGAGGAAACTAGCCTCCAGCTGCAAATCCAGCAGAGCAGGTGCCACAAATCTGAACTCTTGAAGTTGGTGCCTTGGCACATGGGACATCTGATGGAGCTGACATGGTGAACTCTTAGTCTGCTCGGAGCTCCTTTCCCTGCCCAGCAATGCAGCTTTGTAAGAAATGGTTTGGGAGCTCGGAGGACCTGCTCCTTCACTTGTCACTTTGTGGGTGCTCAGCTCTAGGCTCCATTAGCTCCCTGGGCAAGATGACCTGGAGACACCAGCCAAACTTGACACTGTGATTTTTGCTGGGAGGGATGGGCAGGAGAAAAGGCTCTCAGTACCAAACTACTGAAAGGTGCAATAAGGAAAAATGCACAAACCGGGATCTTCCCCGTCCAATGCCTGTAGTTTCAACCATCACACCTGATGGGTCAAGTGCTAGGCTGTATACAAACTGTCCAGTAGGTTTATTCTGCAGAGCATCCCAGAGTCCTGGCTGCAATCCTGCAGCCAGAGGGACTTGCTGGGGCTTGCCAGGTTCCTACCTGGCCTGGGCTCTCTGAGCTTTTCAGCATAAAACACAGCCCATGGCAGCTGAACAAAATACATCCTGATATGTCCCAGTGACCTGGAGGGCAAATTCGAGTCCCACCAAGAGCCACCCCCTTGTTAGTGCAGGCAATAAATGGCAGAGGGGAATGTGGAGAAAAGAAGGGGGAAAGGGAAAGGCTAAATACGAGAAAGTGCAGACAAGATGAATGTCAGTAACCAGCAGAAAATACACAAGAGAAATGGCCTTCAAGGCTCTCAGAAATTTTGCTAATAAAAAGGAAGAGAAAAAGAAAAAGAATAACAACATTTAGGATTTCTTGTATTGTTAAGGAGGTACTGAAGGGACCAGTTTACAGAGGAAGATTAAAAAAGCCAGAAATCCAAAGCTGATTTAAAACCTGGTATGGCAACAGCTGCCAAGGGACTCTAGGAAAGGAGGGGAATTGTTTAAAGATATCTGAAGTAGAGTAACTGGGAGTCAGGAGATGAAGCTGAACATTGTGTTGCTCACGACTGATTCAGATTCCCTTGAGTCACTGCAAACCAAGCCTCTGAGACTGAAGGACTGTATCAAGAGAAGTGGTCATCCTCTGCTGGAAAAGGCTGAGAGACATCACCAGACAACAATGAAGAGTGCCTTTGGCAGGGCCTTGACCAAACCTGTCTAGCAGATGCTGACAAATTGTACAAAACTTATAACACCTGCATCAGACTCTCCTCCTCTCCAGGGCTCCCACAGAGGAAGGGGAAAGGGGGTGTGTTTGCAGTGAGGAACTTCTGTCTGGTTCTCTTGGCAATACTTCTCGCTGATCTCTAACACTTCTGTAAAGCAATATATGAAAAAAGGAATAGGATTAGCTGACTAGCTACATTGCTGAAACCTAAATGTGATTAATACTTCAAACTCATTCTAATTCTGGGTGAAATTATTAGACTGGAGGTCACTTTTCACAGCAGAGAGGTGACGCTTATCATTTCTAGGGGCTGGTAATTTTATATATCTAGTTTGATGCCTGCTAGTAGTATCTCCTGAAATTAGAGGGGCTTTCTCTGGTGGTCTCAAATGTTGCATTTACCTCTGGCTTCTTCTTTGTTGCAAAGAATGTTTCTTGATATAATTATAAGGAAAGAGAAAAATATTCAATGTTTTATTATCATTCAATAAGGAGAAAAATGTTTTTACATCACAGGCTAGAATTCAACATGATTTAGTGATCTAAAGTGAATAAGTATGAGTCCTCACATTTATGCACTCTAAGCTTAATTTAACATCGACTTCGGTTGCACACACACAGTGTTTCTAATGGTTTGAGGGAGAAGGAAAAATTAAAATGAAAACTATCTTTAAGTGTTGTTTTATATACTAAATATCGCTATTAAGGAGGCTGCTTTGACCAGGCAGCTCATAGTAATGCATTTGATGGATGCAGCATGTGTAACGCTTCCTGGTATTTCCCTATTTCAAGATATATCACAAATGCAATCATTATCACTGTAACCTATGACCTCAGAGATACAATCAAACATCTTCCTTCAGCAGTGTCATGGCACGAAATGCTCTGGAGAGAGAACCTCTGCGAAGGCAAAAATAAGTTGAAGGTTCTGTAATCTTTCACAAGAGAATACAACAATATTCATACGGTATGTGATCTTAGAGAAGCTGCAGTGGCTTCAACTGTTTTAAAAGAGGTATCACTGCATATGAGTATAAAGCACAGTGTTTGGGATTTAGAGACTTGTTTTGAACCCGCATTACTTGTAGACAGTAGTATGTAAACTGCTTTCCCTGATTTCAATACCAGTATTGGCAAAGCTGGCTGCCACGAGGCTTGGAGCCTCTGGGGACATTTGAGCAGTGCTGGCTGTGACAGCCTCATGTTCAGCACCATGAAAGACCAAAATACCTGAAATACCAAACAGGAGAGCATGAGCTTAAAAAATGTGCCAAGGTTCCAAGAAACAGGATGGTGCTGTGGTTATACAGGGCAAAGGCTGAATAAGAATGTACCAGCTAGGTATAGGACTCAAAGAGGACCCACGGTGTCCCCTGCTGAAAGATCACTAGTAGATTTTTCTCTGGAATTATTATTGCTTTGCTGTTTGTTTGTTTGCTTGTTTGTTTGTTGGAGGGTTTTTTGTTGTTTCATTTAATCATATCCATAGTCTCTTACAGCTCTTGTAAGAGGGGTGCCTCACCAAAACAAAACACAAAGCTGTCCATGCAGAGCTGGAGGGAGTGCCCAAGAGATGTCACCTGCAATCAGTGGCAGCAAATAGTACAGCACCTTGGCATGTCCCTCAGCCCAGCAAGGGTTGTGCTCCAAATCGCCTTGAGCTCCACCTGTGGTCACTCTTGGGGTCATTCTGCCACCTATTGTGTTAAATTTGTACCCAGTACCAGCTTGTGTCTTCTGCAAACCTGCGACTTCTACAAATCCCAGCACACCGTTTATCCCTGTGTAAGCAGTACCAAGACACATCCCTTGGATTTCGGCCATGGTGTGCAGATCGTCTGAAAGGATGAAGAAAGGTTTTCATCAGCTCTCTCAACAACAATGAACAGAATTATGCATTTGTATAACAATCAGTCTTGCATGAGATGTAGTAATTTCCAGTTCCTGTTTCTTGTCTATCTTCCTGTTTTCAAATAGTGTTCAATAAAACGAAAATATTGCTCAAAGGAAGGATTTAATTATAACTACTTTTTCATTGCTTTCACTAGAGTGCATAAAACTGCATTTTATGCTCTGATGTTGATCAGATCTTTGGATACTAGTCCAGATGCTTTGATACTATTCCAAAGTAAGTGGGTGGGTATTAAAGAAATTAGTCTCAATCTATATTTTTATAGATCAGAGCAAGATTATTTCGATTTAAGTAATTACATAGTTGATATAGTTGCAAAACTGCATAATGCAGAAAAATCAAACAAACATTTTATTTGACTCAGTATGAGACATTTAATTTACTTTTTATGGGATAAGACCTTTTAAAAATAATTTTTCTGGTTTTCAAAATGAGATTTTGAAAAGAAAAATGCTGTTTCATTTTCATAATATCAGAACAAAAAGCTTCAGCTTTTCTGATCTTCTCTCTCTAATCTGCATTTCTTTTCAAAGTTATTAATTTCATTTTATCCCAATTCATAATATGACTGGTTGTAAAAACTGAACTTTTGGACATTCTTTTTCAGGAATATGTCATCTGGCCAAACCAGACATGGATGTCTTTTTCACTTCTCTGACCCTTTATCGCATTGACATGTCTTGCACCATGCTATGGGGGAGAGGGAGAGATGAAAAAAGGCTGTAAGAAACAGAGGGTAACTTAATGTTAGTTATTTTTCACAGTATCCCAGAAAATATGCCTGAAGACTCAATGTAAATTTAATATCCCTACTGACTAGATCATAACAAATTTAGTGGCAGAGTTTGCTGGTCCCATCCCATCATTAATCTAGGTAGACGCATAATTATTTTACCAAGAGTGGCAGAACAAGATACTGTGATTTTTAACAGAAATTGAAAGAACTGTTGCTATTCAGAAAGGATTTATCCCCTAGATTTAGCTCATACTGCATTCAGGGAAATATGGCAATATTAAAGGTAAAGTGTCTGCAGCTTTTAGCAGCAAACTTAATGCATCTGCAGAGGACCTTCCTTGACTGAATGGCATGGACTGGCAGTTAATTCAGTGAGATGTAATTGCCATCATTCAGTATTTAATTAAAAGCAGCATTCATTCTAAATCTGAGGACAGGATCTCGAAACACAAACTATGGCTCTAAAGGACAGGTGTCCCAAAAAATGGGCAGATTTCCAAAATACTGCAGAGATCCTGGGATTTATAATGTTAACTTCCAAATGCACATTGCTTTTTAAAATGCAGGCTCATCACTGTGTGACTCACAGAAGTAGCGCCTTAACTTTAAATTTCTGTGATTTGACAATCCTGATCTAGTTTTGCATAAACCTGCAAATCCATAGATGTTTAATCCAGGAGGTTTCTTCACAGGTCATGACCTCCACCTTCCCTAGGGAAGGGTGTGAGGGACACCTCCTTTTCCATCCCCATGGATATTGTTGGGGCAGCAGGAGGCTGCGCTTATAAGCACAGCACCCAGGTTATCTCCTGCAGTCAGGAGATACTTCTTTTTTAAGCTGTGGCTTACTTATGGTAGTGCTGCTGCTTGCATAATGCTTATGGAAATTTGTACCTCACCTCCTGCTGTCTCGGACAGCCAGGACACACAGCCATTCCTTCTCTACCTCAGACCACAGGCACAGAAGAAGGTGCTACCTCCTGTGTTCACAAGCTTTGTTTGACTTATAGCTCTGTTTTCTCTTCTCCATTCACCACGCTATCTCTTGAACTTGTCAGATTTTCCCATAAAAATTTTTCCACAAAATCCATTCCCCAACTGGTGCTACCAGCTGTGCTCCCACCTACCTTTAGCGCTGCCCTTTTCCAGCAGCTTGCCCATGCTGCTTGGATGCTGAGCCTGGTGCTGCATCCCAGATCCTCCCATTTAGCACCTCATGGGACCATGGCTCTGGCCACTCTCATCGGAGTCAGGTAGGTCTCTAATGGTATCACACACGCCTTGCACAAAAAGGTCTTGCACTTGGCTGCATACACAGACCATCATGTTGCTTTCACTCCTTCTCACAAACAAGACATTCCTCCATCACCATAAAAAACCATGAAGTATGAGAACAGCAGCTCTGTTTTACTGGCTTTTATTCTTGCTGGTTCCTGTACTGCCCTCACCACCATGGTATCCACACGCCAGGCTTGCATGTGCTATGTGATGCAACCAAACTCTGCTCTGGTCAACATCTTTCATCCTTTCCCTCAAGAGAAAAAAGAAGGGAGGTGGAGGGGGTGCGTATGTGTGTTTTGGTGCTTCTTTTCGCTATCTGTATCTCAACGTGCACGTTAGGTTAAAGAAGCGCATCTTGACAAGAAGCAGAAGTAGGGAGGTCTGTGATGGCCTGGCGGTGCCTTTGTGAGTTTGTTCTGCTAAGGCTTGCTCCTGAGGAAGTTCTGCTTCTCACAGAGAGAGAGAAAGTTGACTGTGCCAAAGAGACAGTGGTATTTAGCAGAGTCCTTGGTTAGGGCTTGGGAACCCTGCACCCAGGACTATACATGTGGTTCGATAGCCAACACAGAGAAAAAATAGTGTTGTAGTCTGTAGTATCTCATCCAGCTTCCTGCTAACTGAAGCTTCCAAGTGGCTGGAAACTTCAGGTCCAGATATGGTGTGCTGCCACAGTGCAAATTGGAGATTTGACAAGTTCAGTCATTGCCAGGTTATGATCTGTCAGATTGATTACACTTGGCAGTTAACAGGATGACCATCTTATGGCTGAACAGTGATGAGGGGAAGCACCAGCCATAGATACTTCCACATGAAAGCTTTGTGTGTGAAATGAGCTAAAAAAAACCCAGATGAAATTAAATGAACCCACAACCACCACCCAATGTGTGGACTCAAAGTGAAGACTAAAGACTCTTATCTGCCAACTTATACATTCATATTGAGTTCCAAAAAGCCCTTTTCCATGCCTGTGCTGATTTTGACCTAGATCAGGCTCGTCCTGCTGATCACAATCCATATATGGCACTGGATTGGAAGGACTTCCTGCAATCTGCATGTTGCTGACATTTGATTCATGCCTGCTAAGGCATTTCCCCAAGAGGAAGTCTTTTGGTTAATTTCTATTGCCATGTCTTGAGGGCATTTTCCCTTCTGTGATCTCATCAGACCTCACAACAAAACAGAGCCAAATATGTTTGGCATTTCACTGGGAGACCTCATGAAAACCGGTAAGTGAGAATTGTGTGAAGTTGTGCCAGTGAATCAGCAGGGGTGCTCTGTGCTGAGCCCATCGGCTAATGAGTGCACATAAACGTGCATTAACATTTAAATGTATGCAAATATGGAAAGAAGCCAAATTATCTTTTTGCATGCGCAGAACCCTGTGCTTACAACCCTGTGACACTACTGCAGATGCCGCTGGATACCTAACAGTGAGCTGGCAGGTACAATAAAAGTATGGGAAGTTGAGTGAGACCTTGAAAAAGGTCTCGTTTCCTGTTGTACAAACATGATATTCAGCTTCAACCATTATGCTGTTTTCCTAAGTTCCAGAATTTTTAATTTGCAATATCATCAGAAAACTCCTGCAGTTTGCACACAAGCAGGCTGGGACCCTCTGGCACGCGTTTCCTGAGCCCATTCTTTTTCTGGCCCTCGTGTTCAGGCGTGGAGCAGGGCATTGGCAGAAGCCATGAGAAGCCCTCAGTGTTTTCTCCACAAAATCCCAGTGTTACACACAGACTAAGGAGTTAACAGATCACGGAGCTTTCCTATAACAGATTTAGAAAAGCAGAAACCAGAGTTATTTACTGTTCCCACACTCAGCACTCAGAGTAGTTTTAAATTGCTAGGTTAACTTGCCATCCCTGAAAGAAATTTTCTGTGCACCAATGTATTCTTTGTGGTTGAAACAAAAATTACTTACAGACAGTGCAATGTTTCTTGCAAATGAAAGCTCCAGCCAATGGAATATTTTAAAATTCAGCTGTGATATCTGTTAACTTCTTTCCGGCTGGGGGTTAATTTGATCTATATCTTTTTGTGCAGACAGAAGAAATGCCTCACTTGCTAAAAGACTTTGTCATGAAAATATGACGTAAAGGAGAACATATTCAAAAATTGCCCCCAGTTCTATTGTATTTACCGCTAATAGCACGGAGATGTAGTGTAAGCACACTGGAAGCCAAGTTCTGATGTCAATTACATCAGTGTAAACGAGATTAGAAATTGGCCCAAGACTGTAAGTTTAAACATGACTGTGTTGAACTTTATTTTCAGGACAGATAATGTTTTTGAGCAAAACAATGCACTTGTTAATTTTAGCAGTTTTATCTCAGCACAATCTGGCAACAGTTCCAATGTGTTCCTAGAACTTGGCTTTATTTTACTGTTTATTATATTGCCTGAGCATCAGCACAACTCAGGCTGTTGGATGAGATATTTCAATGAACAAAATACAGGTTTGAAGGCTGGGGACCAATAATGGGAGAAATGCAAACAACTGTCACTAGGCATATATTTCATACTTTGTGGATGACATATTTTCCTCTCTGGTAGGTCTGTACTGGGTCTGCTTCTATCCCATCTGGTATTCAACACTTAAGCTGCTTATTATTAGATCTAGGAATCCAGAACACATTTCAAACAGATCAATGGTATCAGAAAACCTAACATCATGCAGAGGTAAAACAATCCAGCAAGATAAGAATTAATTTATTTTCCCTGGCAGCTGTAATCTTTTTAGGTACTCAAAGAACAACGTTTCTTTGACCTCCTGATTAATTGACATACTTACAGAAAAGAAACAACATTTCTACTACGTATGAAATATCTTAATACAAACTTGAATCTGTCCCAAGGAAAAATAGTTGGGACTTATGCTATTTAGGCCAGCGAAAGTCTCAGGTAACTTTTAAGCATCACTTACACTTTCCTTTTGAGACTTGGCAAGGACTTCTCTGCTGGTCTTTAATGCAGGCAGTGTTGCTGCTATGAATGTTACCAAGCTAATCTAAGATTCAGGCAAAGATGTGGTCCTAAACGTCCTTTCCAGAGGAGAGTTCACAAAGTTCAATTTTCAAACAAAAAAAGCAATCAAGATGTCCTCACAGAAGATCAAGGCTCTTAAAAAATGAAGTGCAAGTGTTCCAGTTCAACCCAAGTCAACCGAGAGCAAGGAACTAACCAAGGAACACAAGTATGCAGGAAAGCATGTGAAAGATCTAATCACTAATGAGAAACATTTACTCCCTCAGTCTCTGGATTGTGTGCTGATCTTCCATTCACTTTTTCCTTTTTCTTTTTTTTTAAAGTATTTTCTCTACTGTAATTTGCAACAGCTGGAACCATTTTTTGTGTGTGTGTGTGTGTGTGTGTGTGTGTGTGTGTGTGTGTTTGTGTATGTGTATGTGTATGTGTATGCGTGCATGTGTGTATGTGCGGACAAAAGAACATTACCAATGTGAAAAGGAAAAGGATGGGCACTGTTTTTTGGAACTTGACTCCAAAGGGGATGTATAATGATATAAGAAAGATTAAGTAAGTGGAGGAAGCTGGGGGATCTTGTAGCTGCAAGGATGCTGCAATGTGGGTGGGCTCAGCAAGGGTCCCGGCACATCCTGTCCCACCAGTAACACCCTGACCCTGCTTCAGAGATTTCACAGCGCTGTGGAGCAAGAGGGTGGATACATTCACTGCAAAGCCTTCTTCAGCCAAAATCTCAGCCTGGTTAGTGACTGATAGCTATGAGCAGTAATTTCAATTTATTTAACATAATGAGGCATTGTTTATCATGGTCCTGAAAGCCTTGGGGTAGAAATACTGGGGAAAACTAACAAAGAGTCACTTGGCGAGCTCTCTAAGCAGTAAATGGTTCCCCTTGGCATGCTCTGACAGGCCGTTGCATTTTAACTTTGCTGAATCAGCTTAATGTGGAAAACTCAAAACCCACTGCCAAGCTCGTATGGCAATTTCTCTTTACCACAGTGGTCATAAACAGATGTTGTTATCCTCAATACTAGGAACCAAATATTCCTTGGGGCAGATTTGTGTAGGATGTGCAGATTGCTCCAGAATTAGGGAAGGGCTGAGGGTTAGGGGTGTACACAGCGGAAATGAGCATTTGGGTTTGTCACGTGAAACACACAAATTCCTTCAAAAACTTACACACGTAACATTGGCCAAGGGGACACTGAAACACATCAGCACCTCTGTTAAACACAGCCCTGTGTGTGTGTGTCAGGAGTGGGGGATTTCTCGGATGTTTATCTCATAAAATGTTGCAAGTGACAGCAATATATAAAAATTAACTATGTCCCTTCCACAAAGCAGAATGACCAACCTGGCCATCAGTAGAAGTTGTAAGCTGACTTCCCTGGAAGGATCTGCATCAAGAAGTTCAAAGTTTGCACTGAGATTGCAAGGTGTCACTCACAGCAGATGCTGCTGAGAGAAGAGTTCAGCAAAGACATCTCTGCAAAGAGCTATGGCCAGAGTCCAATTTTCAGCATTGAAGGTAGGCAGAGGCTTTGTTAAAGACTTTACATCATCCTTTTGCTGGTGGATATAGTACCAACACAAGCAAATGTTTCTTGGGATAGATTCAGCTTTTATTATGGTAATTCATATGAGAGACAAACACATGATTTTTTTAAGCATGATATTTTGAATTGCATACAGATTAGCCCTATTTAGTGTTCAGAAGAGCGCATAATTATGTCATTTTACACATGGTAATTCTGTTAATACAATCAAACACGGTGCTTGCATTTTATGACACAGCATAGCATCACTAAATGGATCATTGTAAACCTCAAGAGGTACAATAGCCATGGCCAAACACGCATGAAAAATTGGATTTAGTGGGACATTCTTCTCATGAT